GTGCATTCCTAGAATAGAGGTATCATCAGCAGGTATTCACCATTCCTTTGCTTGCAGCTGTTGTGCAGGTCAGCCACTGGGACACATCTGACACAGGGAGTAGGTAATCTTTGTCACAAACCCTTCCCATTTGTTAGAAATCCTACACAAGTTGTCCTTTTTTATAAATTAGAGAGAAAACCTCTTTCAGTTCACAGACGGATTTTTTGGAGTAAGAGATACCAAATATAAAAGACTTACTAATTGTTTGTCTAGATTCCCAATATGTGTGGTTCAGTTTCTGAAATAAATGTAATGATAAAGGTGATAAACATGTCTCCAGCTGTCAGACTAATAACAAAAAACAAATACTCCAAACATCACATACTCAAAATTAATGGCCATGACTACTGATGTTTAATCTATGAAATATAATTTGTTTACCAAGTTTGCCGTATACTGTTACTAGGTCAGTAAGATTAGATGGGCAGCAATTTTTTAAACTACTTTTAAACAGTTTGAAGGTACTTATTCGTAGATCACCTCTGTTTATCTGTGCTCTCCCAAGACAGCATTGATAGTTAGAATTCTAAATTGGGATTTTTTAACCCTTTTTTCAAAATTTAGCCCCATCTGTTAATACTCTATTTATAAAACAGAGCACATAATATGATAAAGGAGGTTCATGATTGAATAATGAAGCTTTGCAAGAAACTAAAAAGCATTATGTTTTAGTTACTTTTATTCATCCAAAGAACAGGAAAATTTATCCTAAATATTGGCATTTTGCAATTAAACATTTAGTTCATCAGTGTGCCCTATCTAAAGTACTTGCCATACTCTATTATTTCACCATGTAATTACTCAACATGCAAGCATCTAACCCTCACACATCAGTAACTACTGTCACCTCTGTCCTGTGGCCTTGGGAGCCTTAATTCTAAAAAGTAGACTTCTAGAGAAGCTGAATACTTGGGAGTAACAGAAGAAAAAAAAAATCAAGAAAATTGGAATATATTACTCATTCAACAAATATTTATTGAATATCTACTGTATTCCTGGACTCATTCATAGTATTACATAAGTGAAGAGTAACAGACAAAAATACCTGCCCTTGACAAAAATGGGGGCAGATTCTCCAGCACTACTGTCCTGAGCCATAGAGAACTAGAGCGTGACTATACACACTTAACACATGCACACAAGCATAAAAAACATTTTTCTACATAATCTGAATTTGTTCACATCCTTTTTTCTTTAAAAAAAAAAAAATTATAACCTGCCATTAGAACCAGTTAACAAATGCACCTTAATTTCCTAGGAACTCTCTTTGAAAAAATATGAATACTTCCAGATAGGTTTATGGATTTTCAGTTTCTTATACCACTTGAAACCCCTCAGTCAGATTGCTTTTCTCCTAACAACTAACTGGTATCACTTGCACTAAGAATAGAAGTTTTTATTTTAAGGAGGAAAGGTGATGTTGAAGTTTGTACCGTTTACTTGGGTCACAGACAGCCTGGCTCTAATGCCTCAAAGAAAAGCATAAAATAGAATGAAGGAGAGACACTAAATGAAGCCAGGATGCTAAAAACAATTAATGTCCATGCAGAAATATCTAATGGTTTGCTTTAGAAAAGGGAGGTAATTCTTCTTTTCATCCTGTTTTTCTGTCATTCTCCTGACTCCTTGTTTTGAGGGTCCACAGTTCAGACTTTTACTACTCATTCTGAGGATCCACCATTTCTGTGGTTTCCAAGGGGACACAGCCTCTGAGTTCTAAGCAGCTAAGCTTACTGAACTTTTGGAGTGTAACCTGCTTATAAGTAATTAAATAATAGCTTTAGGGCATTCATGTGCTCATTATAAACTAGTCTAATCTGATCATAAAACAGAGTGCCTCTTCGGCAACTCTTTATTAGCCTAATTGTATTTATGCATACACTTAAAAATTATAATTGTGTCTATGCATAAATTCATTTCTCTAATTCAACAAAACCCATACCATTGCCCTAAGGATGCGACATATCACTCTGCTGGAAATTTAGCGCTACTTCACATTTAAAATACAAGTTTTAACATTAAATAATTTCTTATTCCCCAAAAAATTAATTTCTCTTTCTAGTCTCTCACTGAATTTAAATTCTAACTAGTTACTGCACTAGGGCAGAGGTTGAGATATCACTGATAGTTCACACTGAGTTTGTTCAGCCTGTTTTGCATCCATGAAAATAGTTTTTGGTGGTAATGGTTGTGTAATGATGTGTAGAAATTTTATTGGAAATATTTCCCCCAGAATTCTTCAAGTGTTTTAGTATGTGTGACAAACAATAAGAATTTCGTAGCTATGTTTTTTATTTCAGTGTTTAGTGGCTAAATCATTACTAAGTTATAATTTTATTAATAAGTTTCACTATAAAATGGACCATACAGGTGATCGAGGAAACATCTCAACATCTTCTAGACCAGCTTCTACATCAGGAAAATCAGAGCTGTCCTCTAAACACAGCAGATCTCTTAAACCTGATGGACATATGAGCCGGACTACTGCTGATCAGAAGAAGCCAAGGGGCACAGACAGTTTATCTGCTAGTGAATCCCTCATCTTAAAATCTGATGCTGCAAAGTTGAGGTCAGATTCCCATAGTAGGTCATTGTCCCCCAACCATAACACCTTGCAGACATTGAAATCTGATGGGAGGATGCCTTCTAGCTCCAGAGCTGAATCCCCAGGACCAGGTTCTCGGTTGTCATCTCCTAAGCCAAAGACTCTCCCAGCCAATAGGTCTAGCCCATCAGGTGCTAGTTCTCCACGCTCCTCCTCACCACATGATAAAAATCTACCTCAAAAAAGTACTGCTCCTGTTAAGACAAAACTTGATCCTCCTCGGGAACGTTCCAAATCAGACTCTTACACACTTGATCCAGATACCCTCCGCAAGAAGAAAATGCCCCTCACAGAACCTTTGAGGGGACGGTCAACATCACCAAAACCAAAATCAGTACCAAAGGATTCTACAGATTCCCCAGGGTCTGAAAATAGAGCTCCCTCTCCCCATGTGGTACAGGAAAACCTCCACAGTGAGGTGGTCGAAGTCTGCACCTCAAGTACTTTAAAAACAAATAGTCTAACAGACAGCACCTGCGACGACAGCAGTGAATTTAAGAGTGTGGATGAAGGTTCAAATAAAGTTCATTTTAGCATTGGAAAAGCACCACTGAAAGATGAACAGGAAATGAGAGCATCCCCCAAAATAAGTCGAAAATGTGCTAATAGACACACCAGGCCCAAAAAAGAAAAATCGAGTTTTCTTTTCAAAGGAGATGGATCCAAACCTTTAGAGCCAGCCAAGCAAGCCATGTCTCCTTCTGTGGCCGAATGTGCCAGAGCTGTGTTTGCTTCCTTCCTCTGGCATGAAGGCATAGTACATGATGCAATGGCTTGTTCTTCTTTCCTAAAGTTTCATCCTGAACTTTCCAAAGAACATGCTCCTATAAGGAGTAGTTTAAATAGCCAACAGCCTGCAGAGGAAAAAGAAACCAAGTTAAAAAATAGACATTCATTGGAAATATCATCTGCACTGAATATGTTTAATATTGCACCCCATGGACCAGATATATCTAAGATGGGTAGCATCAACAAAAACAAGGTATTATCTATGCTTAAGGAACCACCTCTGCATGAAAAATGCGAGGATGGGAAAACCGAGACCACTTTTGAAATGTCCATGCATCACACAATGAAGTCTAAATCTCCTCTTCCCTTAACTTTACAACATTTAGTGGCTTTTTGGGAAGACATCTCTTTGGCTACTATCAAAGCTGCTTCCCAGAATATGATTTTTCCAAGTCCTGGTTCCTGTGCAGTTCTTAAAAAGAAAGAGTGTGAGAAAGAGAATAAGAAGGCCAAAAAGGAAAAAAAGAAAAAAGAAAAGGCAGAAGTGAGGCCCAGGGGTAATTTGTTTGGAGAGATGGCCCAGCTGGCAGTAGGAGGACCAGAGAAAGATACCATCTGTGAACTGTGTGGGGAGTCACATCCATACCCAGTGACCTATCACATGAGACAAGCTCACCCAGGTAAATGATACTGGCGAATGTATGTATAAGTACTTTTTTCTTTACTGAACCAGATCACTTCATTTGAGCTGTTATGTGAATTTTGGCAAAGGATAGGGAATTTATAGTATCTTAAAGTACATTATCAGTACAGGGTTTTGCAAAAAACAGATAAAGAAATTCTAATATTATGATGACAAGGTCATTTAGTGCTATTTCACTTTCATGTAGCATGTTTTAAAAAATTTTATGTGTTACCCAAAGGGTATGCCATTAATGTGTCTGTCTCACACAACAGAATCAGTGGCGTGCCCATACACACGGGGCATCTCCTTTGATTTTACTATTTTCCTGTTCAGAATTGCAAATTAAATTAGATTATATTGATTTCAATAGGCTTTTTCCTACGGAAGTGATATTGTTTTATCAGAAGACTGCATTTTCAGTAAATGTAATGATTTCTGTAACATTGACTAATATTCCAAATTCACCTAATAGAAATTTGTATTTGTAATTTTTTTCTTTGTCTACATATTATACTTCAAATGTTCTATGTGACTTCTGAAAATATATCGTTGTTATAGAACTTTTATACTCGTTTTGTCTAATTTTATTGACATAATTAAGTATATCTAAATGTACCTATAGTCTACCTCTCTTTTAATCTGCCTGAATAGAAACTAAGTATCTCTCATATTTGGGGCATCGTTTAATTGATTGCTTTTTGATCAAGTAAGCTATTTTTCTGATATAGTTAATAGCCTGAAAAATCAGATATCTATTTCAGTATTTTGCTTTCTTTGAGAAGGTAAATCTGTCATTAATCTATGAGTAATAAGGATCAAACTATTAAGGACACTTGGAGTGTTAAATATTTATTTTTGGTATTGTTTCAAGGTTGTGGCCGATATGCTGGTGGACAAGGTTACAATAGCATTGGGCATTTTTGTGGAGGATGGGCTGGTAACTGTGGTGATGGTGGCATAGGAGGAAGCACTTGGTATCTGGTATGTGATCGCTGTAGAGAAAAATACCTCCGTGAAAAACAGGCTGCTGCAAGGGAGAAGGTATTTTATTCCATTCGGAGCTATAGTTTTAATGATACGGATACACTTTATAAAAATACCTTTTAATGATCTTATTACATCAGATAATTCCACATAGTTGATATAAAAGATCAGCTTTTACAGTGGAAATCATATACAAATTTAATATTTGTACTACGTCAGCTGCTTTTAATTTTAAAAAATTAACTATATATTGGAATAACACTGGATAACCTCTGCTACCTGTTTTTTTGGCTCCTTTGTTTTCCTATTCCATAGCTACTCTCTCTTTTCCTTATTCACTCTAGTGGCTAACCTAACTAAAAAATTTCACTGAATACACACACTGAGATTATTTACTTTTTAAAAAAATGAATTATATTTAGATTTAACTAGTTAGGTGTTAAATTTTTCTGAAGAAAGAAAGGGAGTATAGTTTGTGTTTAATACAAAATAGTCAGCCCAGGATGAATATGAAGTGAATGTTGTTTTTTATAATCTTAGTATTTTAAAATAGCTTTACAAGTGTTTAATAATTTTTATTGGAAACTCAAAATACTTAGCTTAAGAAACTAAAGATTTTAATATAAGTCAGAAAAGATTACTTTGATTTTTTTTCTTTGCCAGGTCAAACAATCTAGGAGAAAACCAATGCAAGTCAAGACCCCTCGTGCCTTGCCCACCATGGAAGCTCACCAGGTGATTAAAGCCAATGCACTCTTCCTGCTGTCCCTGAGCAGTGCAGCCGAACCGAGCATTCTGTGTTACCATCCTGCAAAGCCATTCCAATCTCAGTTGCCCAGCGTGAAAGAAGGCATTTCTGAGGATCTTCCTGTGAAAATGCCTTGTCTCTACCTTCAGACATTAGCTAGGTAATAAAATTTTGTTGTTGTTTTTTAATCACCTTTGGATTAACAGTGATTGTTTATTGATATCTAGGGTAGTTCAGTATTTGACCTATACTTTATTAGATATTGTGTACTGTAAAGAAACTTCCAGGCATTTATTTTTTTGAGTTGCCTTGACTAACATAATGACTTTATGGTAGTAGGTATTTAAAAAACTATAAAAATGCTTCATCAATTTACATTGTTATTAATACAAAACATGTCTTAGAAAATAAGACTGTAGCTATCTTTCACTCTTTGGTAGGCTGACTTCAGTCTGTTAGTGCGAAATGCTGAAGTAGAAAAAAGTTGGTGTTTTCTTAGCAGTCTTTTATGTCATAAATTATTCATTCTGTTAGCATTTAAATGAATACTAACTGGGCACCTGCCAGCCTTGTGCTAGGTCCTGAATGAATGAATGAATATAACAAAATCCTGGCTTCTATGTACTCATACTGTGATGTCAAGTCAGACATGTCAGTGAAACATTTGAAATGCCATGTGAGGAGTGCTACAATAGAAGTATGTATGTAGGATGCTGTTACAGCATAAAGGATGGAGAGTATCTCAATCTTCCCAAGGAAATCAGAAAAGGCTTCCCAGAGGGTCTGACCCTTTAGTGGAGTCTTAAAGGATAAATAGAAACCTGTCAGGCAAGTGATGGGAAGAAAGCAACGCCTGGAAGAATAACCCAGGTGAGTAAAAGACACAAATGAAATCTCATTACACATTTGAGGAATCACAGGTTGTTAAAGGACTGACTACTGGAGGAAATGTGTGAAAGCCCATTCAAAATGATTGGTTCACCCAAGTAATGTCGGGCCCTGTAGCCCAGGTTAAGATTGCATTTTATCCCATGAGCAGAGGAAACAGTGGAAAAATTTTAAACAGAGAAATACATGAATTGGTTTGCAATTAAAAGATCACTGTAGAATGTGGAAGCTAATGTGGAGACTAGATAAAAGTGCATTACTAGAGATAGAGAGAAACCTGTTAGTATTCTATTTTCATATATTGGACCTGAAGGGTGCAGCCTATACTTTCACACATCATGCAGTGACACTCCAAAAGAGCCTTTCATATACCAAAATCAGATTTTTTTCATCAGCTGACAAATGAAGATATCTAGATATTGCCTGCTGACATGGCTTGCCAACCAACAGTTCCATTATGGAAATTGTCCTCTTTGTGTGGCAGAGTTGTGTGATTTTTAAAATTTTGTGCTTACTATTACAAAAAAATGAATAAGCAACAAAAATGAAAATGTGAGACTAAATACATTTGAGACGGAGGTGGAAATCATCAGGTATGCCAAATACAGTAGATCTTTAGTGTGAAGCATACCACTCAGTGGACCTAGGTTAGCAACTATTTATTCATTTGGAAAAGGAAAGAATCAAATTGTAAAACATGAAAAATGCTCACACAGCATTATTACAGACTTTTTTTCTTTTTAGCTCTCTGGGGAATGGGCACCCCCTCCACCCTGAACCACAGAAAATTTCATATATCTAATATTTTTCAAATATGATCTTATGTATGTTCCTACCCAAAAAAGTAACTGCCTTATTTCAGTGGTCTGTGCAAGAAATAATAAGCATGAACCAAGGCAGTGGTGATAGGGAATGAGAAGAGAGAATGGCTCTGAGAGGAAACCTAATATCATGGGCTTGAAAGATGATGATGGTAGAGGGCTAAGCCTACTACAACACTGGAAATATTTTAGCTTAAGCACCTGGATGGTTGGTGGGATCATTCACCAAAACACTGGAAGATGGAAAAGCTCTCAAAAGGAAAGAAACTTAGTTCACTTTTTGATTCGAAATGTTTGTGGTACCTGAAATGTTGATGAATAACATTATCAGACTTTTATTTTCACCTACCTACATCTACAATTATTTTAATACTTTGCCTTTAACTATGATTTACGTGTGCTGCTTCTCCTGTTATGAAGGAGATTAAAAATGAAGAGGATCTGTATTGCCATCATACTTTAAGTTATTGGGTTTGATTTAATACAGGCATCATCATGAAAATTTTGTGGGCTATCAAGATGACAACTTATTCCAGGATGAAATGAGATACCTACGTTCAACATCTGTACCTGCCCCATATATATCAGTAACTCCTGATGCAAGTCCTAACGTATTTGAAGAGCCAGAGAGCAATATGAAGTCTATGCCACCAAGGTATTTTAGTTCTCTCCTGTTTGTTGAATAGCTAGTGTTTGGTGGAAGAAAGACTTTGAACTAGAAAAGAGTCCTTTTCTAGTTGTTGTTTCTAGTTGTTTCTACTTGTTGTTTACAGTGCCTCCTAACTTAGGTATGGTAGTATCAGAGTAAAGAGCTTCTCGAAAAGCTGAATAGAAACGTGTTATAATAATATAATACACAAGAAAATAGAGGCCAGGCATTGTGGCTCACAACTGTAATCCCAGCACTTTGGGAGTTCAAGGCGGGTTAGATCACCTGAGGTCAGGAGTTCGAGACCAGTCTGACCAACATGGTGAAACCCTGTCTCTACTAAAAATACAAAAGATTAGCCAAGTATGGTGACACACACTTGTAATCCCAGCTACTCAGGAGGCTGAGGCAGGAGAATTGCTTGAACCTGGCAGACAGAGGTTACAGTGAGCTGAGATCATACCACTGAACTCCAGCTTGAGAAAAAAAAAAGAGTACCACTGAAACTTTTTTAGAGGAGGAATGATGTGATAAAAATGCAAAGGTATTCTCACAGTGACAATTGAGAAACTGACATATGGATTAAAGAGATATATTTTGTAGGAAAAATAAGTGTGACTTGTTGACTAACTGGATAATGAAAAAGGTAAGTTTAAGATGACATGAAGATTTCAGGCACAAATAACTGTGAACATGGTATCATTGGAAAGGAAGACGTTTGCTGAATGAAAAGAGAATGTGCTTGTTAAGAGCATGCCACTGTGTTACTACTATACAGCTATAATTATAAACTAATATAATAAATACTTTAATCACAATAGAACATATATATCCAAATGAGGTTTTTTGTTGTTGTTGTTAAAAATACATACAACTTCTCCCCTCCCCAACTGCGTGGATTACTCGTCAGAATTTCTTTGAAGCTGCTCTTGACATTTTCTCCAGAGTGCAGTGCAACCTTTAATATCTTCAAAAGTAATAAAGTATTTCTAAAGGAGATACACTGTTTAAAAAAGTCAGAAACCATTTTGACACTAGTCTGACAAGTGTGATTCTCAGTGGATTATTATTACCCCTTAGGATCAAAATTCAGAGGCTGAGGCAAGAGGATGACTTGAGCCTAGGATTTTGAGGTTACAGTGAGCTATGATTGTGTCACTGCACTTCAGCCTAGGTGACAGAG